CCGACAACGGTGCGACCTCACAAACTCTGTGTTATAGGTGAGCTTGTTTCGGCTTTGATTATATTTTCGCATGTCTTGGGCATTTACCACTCCTTTTCATAATTGTTCTTCATATAGTGCGTTCAATGGGAGTTGGCACGAAGCAACATATTTACGCCGGCGCTGTACTATTCGCGCATGCAGCAATTGACAAATGCTCATTGAAAATACAGGGACTGCGGTGACTAGTAGAGACACGCGCTCTGATGATCACCACTTTCTCTCGACGATGTGGGACCGGGTAAACTCAAAAAGGGCTGACAATCGATTTTCTTTCCGCAATGCGCCTAGAACTTTATTTGCTTTCGCATCCATCACGCTTGTTCCGCTCTATCCGTGCTTTCAAAGTAGAGGGAGAGATTTAGTTTAGCAGAAGTTTAAGAGTAGAGGAACTTTGTTAAAACGAGAAAAATCTAGCCTAACAGAAGTACAGTTACAGTTGAATTTGGCCATAGCGGGGAAATTCTAGGCCGACAAAAGCTTAATAGAAATCTGTTTTATGTATTCGTGCGACCTTTATGGGAATCGCATCGGATAGTAGAACTTAATTTTGGCTTTAGTTTTAAAATCAGGGTTCTGCTTCTTTTCACATCTTCTTGACGACACTCGTGGAATTTAAAATAGCTTGAAATCTAGCAAACAGCATGTGGAAAACTTGTATCAACAGGCTCCCTGAATAGAAGTGGCAATGATCAACCATTCTAGTCTCAATACTTTTTTTCCTGATAGACCTAAGATCACATGCATAAATGCTAGTCCTACCTATTTTTCTGTTCCAGTTCCATTTCGTGATCGGGATGCGGAGTTATCGCAGTTTGCTCCCCATTTAACAAAATTTCTGCGTCAGCAGTTAATCGACCACAACATTTTGGTTATGAATCAGACCGATGGATATCGCTTCAATCGTGCTTCTCTCATTAATGTATCCTTACTACATTGCTAATTTCTTTCCTCTGATATTCTATCTTAGCCCAATTTAGGTGGGATGGTTCGAGTCCGATCGGATGGGATGTGACTATATGGTTATGCATGATGTAGATCTTCTCCCTCTTAATCCACAGATCAACTATCACTTTCCTGGCGATGGCATTGTGAGGCACATCTCTTCTCCATCGTATCATCCAAAGTATGTTATCAGAATAATGTACTTGCTGTAGGAGGCCAGTATTGGTTCATAGTGAAGATTTGTTATTTCTGCTGAAATTCAATAGAGACATTCAAGCAATTCATTTACATACATTTGCGTCGCTGATCCAACTCTAACAAAAGCCACAACTTGCATACGCAAGAGGAATCACACATTTGTATCACTCCATTCAATTTGAGCACTTGAAAACATATCAAAAAGCGTGTTCGCTCTTTGAACGATCAAAAGTGCTGCCATTTGTTCTCTGATGAGTCGCCTTTTGGGATTGTTGTTTGGTGTGCAATTACACCGTATGCTAAAAGTTATGAAAAGTTTTCGTCACTCATAACTCTCATGAATATAACTGTCTTGTCGCAGTCATAGTAATTGAATATTTAAATTATCACCTTATTGGCATAACTGGTACAAACTCCATTTCAAAATAACTTCTAGCACCGATTTTTTTGGAATATAGGACACACTCCTCTCCTGCGAGTTAATTTCAATTATACATTCTAGATATAATTATTCTAACTTCATTGGAGGAATTTTGATGTTAACAATGAAAGACTACAAAATAG